GACATATTTTTGTAGGAAACCTCTGACAAAGCCTGGAGTGTTCTTTGCCTCGTAAATCTTTGATGATATTAGATATTTAATTCAATTGGCAAAAGCAGTTTTTTCAAAATCTGGTATGTAATCTTTTCATAAAAGACTTGGGTGGCTTCTAGGAAAATGTCAGGAGTCGAAAGCTTCTTGTACATTTTCATTTTAATATTTCATCAGGACAGAACAGCACAGGTTTATAAATACTTGGCTCTTACTCATGAACTCTATAAAATTTTAAAGAAAGGCATTTGAAGCCAGTGGTGTGGCCACAAAGTGATCCTTCTTCTCCAGTGCTTTCTCTCCTGGTCTTCTCCATCTCTGTACATTTCAGTACTGCTGTTTAGAGCTGCACAAATTGTTCTCTGCACAACCAGAGAGCACCATACTTACAGACTTCATGTGAATGAGCCCCTGAAGCTGTACAACATGGCATTCCTGATGAAAAGCACGGCCCCATTTTTCTTACCACTGAGACAAGAGCCTTAAATGCATCCTTTACTCTCCTTATTAAAACTATAGTATGTCTTGATAGCTGTTGCTGTACATTCCACCCAGAATCCTTCCTTCCATCACTTTCACCACCTTTACCCTCTGGTAGAGTCCAAGCCACCTTTCTCTTACCTGGACACCTGTGACACCTTCCTAATAATTTCTCTACCTCCCTTGGTTCCCTGCACTTGCGATCACATAGCAGCCAGTGTGATCTTTTTCAAAAGCCCTTTCCCTGCTCAAAGACTTCTAAATCTCCCTGTACCTTTTGGAATGAAATCCAATGTCACTACTGCAGCTTGCAGGAACACATGCTTCCTATGATCTGCCCCCACTGCCTCCCATCTCCTTTGACACGCTTGTTTATTACTTCTGCTGTAGCCATAGAGATAACCTTTTAATTCCTAAAATACACCAAAGCAATTCAGTCCAGCTCTCTGCATGTGCTGGTGTCTCTACACAGAGCTGTTTCCCAAATATCGACATGGCCGACTGTCTTACTTCCTTCCAGTGTCTGCCATAAAGCCCTTATCAGAGAGAACTTCTGTGACTCTCCTTTCTAATAGAGACCCTCATTCCTCTCTATCTCTTTATCCTGTTTTAGTTTTCTTGTTAGCTCTAACCTTCTAGTATACTATGTATTTTTTATGTTCCCTTGCTTTCTTGTCTGTCTTCACCCTCTAAAATACAAGCCCTATGGGAGCAAAGTCCCTTTTTTTGGTTCTCTGCTGTAATTCTGTGCTTCCAGCAATACAGAGAATATATATGTTCAATTAATATCTCATCTAATCAAACAGCATGGACAGTGTATATGCCTTTGGGGAAAATATTTATATGTGGTAGATATTATTCTCAGAAATTCATTTTCTATTCTTTACTCTCAAATTATATTAAGACTCGTAGTAGAGATATTTTTAGTAGGAATGGTTTGTTAGACACAGCAATCAGAATTTATTGTCACATGAATATGCAAATTTTAAAAGCTGTCCACAAATTAAAATATAACTCAACTGCAAATGATGATTTCTACCTACTTCTGCTCTCTGTACATATAGATAATTTCACCTATATAATTGTTGTTTGGATCATTGCTAACAATTTACATATTGAAGCTTGGAAAAGTCAAAATGATTCAATAGAATGAAATAATTTGAGAATTGAAATGATCCTTAAATGTCATCTATTGATCTTCCTAAAGGGTTGGTCAACTTATGATCAGATAATTTTTAGTGATAGAAAACTGTACACTATGTGGGTACCCATTTTGTTTTTGGATAGTTTTTTTTTTTTTTAGGTTAAATGAATCTGGATCTAGGTAACTTATATACATTGGTCTTAGTTTTTGGAATCCACAGACAAAAGAATAAACTAGAGAGTAAATAGATATAGAAGAATGAAAAAAGATACAGAAAATGGAACTTTTCCACTGTAACATTAAATTCTTTCAAGTTTAATTGTACCTAAAATTAGATATTTATCTGATTCTCAGAAAAGTAGAAGGAATGCTACTTCATTTTATGGAGAAACACCCACAGAAGTTTGTACTGGCGATTTGATTTTTGACAGGGAATGTATTGGTTGGTGTTGCTTTGTAACAAACCATGCCAAAGTGTAGTGGCTTAAAACAACTCACTTTATTTCTCATAAGATATGTATGGGTCAGCTGTGTGCTTCTGCTGGTCTGGACTGGACCCTGCTGATCCCAACTGTACTCACTCATGTGTCAGCTGTTGGCTCGTGGATTGGCTGGGGGTTGGTCAAGGATGACCTGTGCTGGAAATAAGGCATACCCCCAGGTGGCTCTCATATGTCTTCAGGAGACCAGCAGACTGCATTTTCCTAGCAGGAGCAGGGGTCCAGGAAAGAAAGTAGAAACATAAAAGGATTTTTTCAAGCCTTTTTTGTGCTTCAGGTTGGCCGTTCTCCTCCTTTGCCATACTACTGAGCCTAGAGTCCAAGTGGGGGAGAACTGCAACGTCGGAAGGCAGAGGGTCTAGATAGAAGAAGGCCATTGATCGAGGCCACGAGTGCAGTCAGTCTGCCAAAGATAAAAAGCACTGGACAGAGGGTTTGACATAGAGACAAAATGTAAAGGAGGGGAGTGAATGGAAAGACAGAGATAGAGAAAACAAAATCAAAATGAAAGATGGGTAGGTAATGGAAGAGATAGGGAAGAGACATAGAAAAGATGGAACGCACAGTCCGAAGAGAGGAGAGAGTTGCTGAGAGGGCTGCAGGAGCCAAGACAGGTGACCGGGAAAACAAGCTCTGGCATAAACACAGAATACTTGTATTCATAACAACATAGTAGGATTTTTCGACTGATAGCATTATAAACACAATTTCTGCTGTGAGTATGGGAAAAGAAGAAATACCATAAATGACCACAGAATTTCCTGGTAAAGTATTTCACAACTTACAGAAGAAAACTGTAATTGTGGATATTGGAGAGTAAAAGCAAGTAAAAGATGCCAGTAACAAAGCTTTCATACTTCTGAGCAGGCATCCTCAATACTATTGTTTAAAAATTATATGATTTTGTCTTATTAGGATATACAAACTATAACTTGAACTGGGATTTTTTCCTATGTTTTTCTATTCTTTTGTTTGTTTCTTCCGTAAGTCTGTCTTAAATACAAAATATATTTATATTAGCACTCCTCAACATGGAGTGTAAGACTGGGTGATTGTATAATGCCCACCAAGAAAGAGGATTACATATATTGATACTGAATACAGCTTAGTAAATTGCTAAATCAAGTTATTTCAGATTTTCATATAGTAAATGAACTATTAGGGACAGAAATCTTGATTTGGTTTGGTTTGGTTTGTGTGTTTCTGTTATCCAAATATCATACTACTTCTTCATGTTGGCGAAGAACTGGGAATACTGATATAAACTTTGAAAACACTTTAACATTATTTAAGAAGGACTGAAATAGTACATAAAGGGAAAAGGTCATTTTCAATTTACTTGTTTCAATAAAATTTCACAAATTTCAGAAACGGTAAAATTTCCTCTTAATTTTTCAATGTTTGCAAAATAGCCCTTTTAAAATTTCATGATGCCATGGGCAAAAACAAGCAGTACAGTTTTTATTATAACTTATTTCCCTTCTTTCTTATCGTTTTGCTGTGTATTAGGGTTTATATAGCAATGTCTGATCTAATATATCCTTTAACAAATAATCCACAGATGGCTCAAAATCTGCTTATTCTACCTAAAGAATTTTTTTGTTCATTTTTCCTTTCCTTTTTCTCTCTTATCCCTTTATTTAATAAAGATGGTTTCATTCCCATTTTTATTAATTTATTATTATACCATTTCCCTGGTAATAAATAGAGTAACCATATTTCCAATGAAGCTTTTCTAAATGTAGGAAAATTGGCTTCAAGAGTTTGCCTCATTTATAACTGTTGTATCATTTTTCTTATGTTCTTAATGTGTCCTAATTTTTTTAAACTATAATTATTAGAAATATCTGTCATATTTAAACTTTAGTACCATTGTGATTCAAATTTAAGAACTGTGACCTTCAGATAACCCATAAGGACTTATACATTTTCCATAGGAGTTTCAACTGGAATGGTGAAGCTCGATGTTCATTAACAATTGCCAAATTTTAGTATACATTAATCAGCAATGATATTGTTAAAAATATATTTAGCAGTGCAATTATTTGTCTTTCTCCAGGTTTTATATCTATAATACCACTTTCAAGCAAGGATATTTTAAAACTCTATAAAAAATAAAATAATCATGCATCACTTACTGATGGAGAAATGCATTGTTGCAAGGCAATTTTGTCATTGTGTGAACATCACAGATTGTATTTACACAGACCTAGATGGTGTAGCCTACTACACACCTAGGCTGTATGGCAGAGCCTATTGCACCTAGGCTGCAAACCTGTACAGCATGTTACTATACTGAATATTGTAGGCAATTGTAACACAGTGGTAAGAATTTGTGTATCTAAACATAGAAAAGATACAGTAAAAATACAGTGTGATAATCATATGGGACCACTGTCATATATATAGTACATTGTTCTCATAAACATCATTACAAGGTGCATGACTGTATATAATAAAAGTCTTTTAAGAAAACAGTGAGAGAAGAATCTGTATTCCTGAAATTATAGCCAGCACTTAGTACATAAATGTAGGTGTGCTTATAAGTGTGATAAGTTTGCAGCATCCAGTGTCAATTAGATTCTCTGAGAATCTAGTGCTTAGAAAGTCAAGTAGCCATCTTTCAGACCAGGAACTCCCTTGTCTCTTTAACTTATCGAATAGTACTACACTGAGGTTATTTTTTGGTGTTGTACACAAGTCTGTCTTCTCTATTTCCTGCTTCCATTCGAGTTCTTGATTACTGTCACCTGATTTTATCCACTAAACAAGACGATCCCACTCTCTTCCCATCCTTGCATGAAACACAAATCCTAATACATAGCAATCTGCTTTTTCTTTTCCAGATTCCTGTCTTGGTCACACAGATAAGTTCAACCAATCATCCAGTGAAAGTGGGCCTGTCTGACGCATTTGTCGTTGTCCACAGGATCCAACAAATTCCCAGTATGTAGAAGGGTAATTGCAAAGTGCAAGTCTTCCGTGGGGGTAAATTTAAAGGAGATATATCTCAGACAGATGTAACTGGAACAAAGAATCACTTAGCTAATTGTTGCTCCTTAATTCTGTTGCTTGGTTTATAACTCCTATTGGGGCTGGATATTTCTAGTACTCTCAAACTAATAACTTAGGGGAAGAGAAATTAAATAGCCAAGCCAGGAAAGTGTAACTTTGGATTATTTGGGATAGTTGGCTTGGGTGAGCAAGGACAGTTCTTTTATTAATAAGAAGAACATAAAACAGTGACATTATTTGATTGACAGGCATATGTTTCCATGTTTGTTTATTCTAAATAAATTTATGACCTGAAGAGCAGCTCTGTGCTGTTCTATGTTCAACCTGTGTGTGTAAAACTGTTTGGGAGTCTAAAGGAAGATGAAAGAAAAAGTATGAATTTTGGAAAATAAAAATTTGGGTGGAGCTATACCTACCAGAGAAGATGTGTATTTGTTTGTTTGTTTAAATCATTTTTTGCCTATCTAATCTAGTTGACATTTTATATAATAAAAACTTACATGTTTCTTTTGGCAGTTATTCATCATATTAGAAAATCAAAGTGTTAACTGCATTTTGTAGCGGTTCTGACCATAATAGTCATCTTTTGAAAGGTCTGGTTTTTAAACCTCTTATTTCAAGAACAGTCCCGAGGGATGCTTTGTTTTATTAACACAGGGGGTGTTTGTTTGTGTCCTAGATGTGTTTATTTAAAGCAAGGGGTGATAATAAAATATGTCTCAAGATGAGATCATTTCTTTCCATTTTGTTAAAAGTTATTTTCCTTTTATTTCATTATAGTGGTAGACAATTCATCACATGCATATGCTGTTTAGTCTTGACTTGAGCTGATTCTGTTTAATTGTGTCATCTCCCAAGTAGAGAAAATAAATGGAGTGGAAACCAGATATTTCAGAGCAATGGATTGGCTGGAAACATTGTGGGGGTTATCTTACAACTACACTTGAGAATGACTTCACGTATGGCAGTTCTGCTTAGTGAAAATGTGCATACTCGTGGGTTTGTCCTTGTTAGCTGAGAATTTGTGGGAGGTAATATTCAAAGGAATTGTTAAATCAAGGCAGATTTTCCAGAAACTAAATTGTAATGTGAACAAAGCAGGAATATATTAGTATATGTAGGCAACATAAAAGCATCCTGACAAAACTCTTAAATAAGAGGCTGAACCCTGGGAGAGCCAAAGTTGGCTTCTGTTTGAGAAGGCATGTTCTCACATTCTTTCTTTCAGGGGTGTTAAATCAAGCATGACTTCAGTCAATTATTGCACAAGTAAAAGAAAATGTTAGTGTTAGTTTATTTGTTGGTTCTTTTTCATCTCTGAAAGAATTTTATTTGCAGTTTACTCAGAAGACATTTTAGCCCACATTGCTGTTCTGATATATCATTATTTAGAGAAAAAGACCACCAATGTACAAATTTTTTTTACAAATGTATTTTAATATGTGAGTATTGTATCAGTACATTCCCCATGATAAAATTGTATTTAGACTTCAGCATCCCTAAATGCAATTTTGTATCTCTTGCTATGCTGTGAAAGGATTAACTGTTATGTTTTCGGGGGAAAATATCCTTCCAAATAGAAATTTCACTGAATAAATTGGAGAAATTTATGTGAATTTTGAGACCAGAGATGTCTAAAGTTTGGGACTAAGTATTCATTTTAAAATCATTACTCAAAGTTCAGAGAAAAGCTTGTCTCAGGCAAGCTGTGTGCCAGAATGGCATTCGCATTTCCTGTTGATCTTACATTTCAATCCTGAGAAAAATTAGCCAAGAAAAATTGAAGGTCTAAGTCTCTCATAACCCCCACCCACCCAATGCCTGCCCTTAGATAGGATCATATTTGAGCAAGACAATTGGAACTGATATGTTCTACTTGAAAATGTTTTTTGGGAACAGAAAATTTTAATCTCCTTAAAAATCTGTTCCCACATTTATGAAGTATATCTGTTACATGAGCTTCTGTATAATAGGAGAAACATGGTTGCATTGTGTTTCAGCTAGAGAAAAAAAAAGAAGCATACTTATTTATTCATGCCAGAGATGAGGATAACTCAGGATTAGCATAAGACAAGTTCTACAAGTTTTATTTTTTGTGTATGAAATATAAGATGATTCCTAGAGATACCTAGAGATGATTCTATATGTTACATATTTGTGCAATCAGAAATTAGTTAAGTGTTTAAGTCCTTTTCAAAATCCTGTTCCCACATTTGACAACCCTATTAGGAGTCGTCCTCATAAAGAATTTAAATCCTTTATCTCTGTTACCACCTTTTTTCCCTGGGTGGATTTAGGGAACAACTGATCATTATCCTGAGTAATGGACGGTTACATTTCTTCTCTATTCCAAGGTGCATTACATAGGACCTGTTCTCATATGATCAGCTTTCTGTTCTTTTAATCATTTTGGTTACATGCATTATAGAACCTAGAGTCTTGGCTTAAACTAGCTATAGCAACATAAGAAAGTGAGCTCCGGCCTTAAGAAAAATGTTCCCAGTGGGACCACCAATACTATACCACTCTTATCATGATGATTTGGTGAAAGTTTGATAAAGCATTCAAAAAGCTATAGGACAACTTTAATTTATTTATTATTAAAATTTCTCCCCACCTGTTCCTTATAACATCAACAACAAAAACTCATTTTTCAGTTTTTAAGGACTTCCGAATAGTAGATGATTTCATTGTAATTTTCAAGTATAATTAATTAGGTAGCCTTCATCTTTCAGAAAAGATCAGGTGATCTGATAGTTTAAATATCAAAGGGAATTCAGGCATTGTTAGTAAATTGACAAATAATTCTGTGGTTACAAGAGATATTACTTTGCTCCTTCAAAAAAGAAAAATGAAAATGAAAGTCTAGGGTTCAGATTCCCAACCTGGCCAGCTGCCAGGGGGAAAAAAAGCCTGTGGTGAAATTAACACTTATATTAAAAAAAATAAAATGAAAGATTACTTTAAAGTATAGATAGTATGAGGGATATTGCAGTGTGAATATTGATCACGAGATCTTGAGCATTTTTTTCTATAGCTTTATGTATAAAACAAGCATATAAGTTCCTCAAATGCAGTATTTTACAGCATGTAGTACCTGGCATAAAATAAGCACTACATGTGTACTTACAGCTTTTTTTTTAATCACCATCATCATCATCACTCTAAAAGTCACTGACACTGACTGAGATGTCACCCCCCCAACCCAAGTGCGCATCAGAGTAGGGCCACTAGGAAACACTTTGACACTGTCTGGAACTCCTAATTCTTTCTGACTATAATATTGTACATTTTAAAATATCTCTTCATAAGACTTGTATGTGTCATCTATGTACATCTCTAAGTCATTTTCTGTTTTTCGTAAAATTTATTCGTAAAACTTTAGAAAGAGAAAGACCACAGAGATCAGCTGATTCATCACCACCCATACAGATATGAAAAACAGGTCTATACGCAATGACTTGAGTTATCCATTTCAGAAATATAAGTGTAAAAATATATTTATTCTGATTAGATATGTAGTGTACTTTGATTAAGACTAATTTATAAAATAACAGAAAACCCAAAGAAGAAAATTTATTGACTGTAAATCTGCTACAGAGAAAACAGTAAATGTTTTTATGTATGTATTTGCACCCACCCTTTCATTTATAATATGTACACACAAACACACACACATTAAGAAAATTGACACTGTGCCATAAATCCTTTTTGCCACCTGTTTTCCCCTTAATATATACAACACATTTTTCTACATTGTTAAATACCTGTCTAAAATGTGATCATTAATTTCTATAATAAATTCCTTTTTTTCAAATTTTATGTAAACTTTCTCTTCATTAGTTGACCATATAAGTTGCTTCTAGTATTAATTATCGGTGAAACAGTGCTGAATATCTTTGTTTTAAAATTTTTAAACAAATCTGATTCTCAGAAAATGAATTTGTATATGTTAACTGTTAATAGTTTTTTAATGTATTTTGACAAACTGCTTTCCATAAATTTTGTGCCAATTTACTCCTCCACCAGCCTTATGTTGGATACCATTTCCCCAAATGGTCTCAGACACAATTAACATTTTTTAAACTTTGCAAATTTGATAAGCAGGACATGGTATTTCATTGTTGCTCTAATTGTCTTTTGATTACTGGAAAGTTTTAACACTGTCATATGTTTATACATCATTTGTAATTTCCATAATTTCTCATTAAATAGCTCTAAGTAATTCTTCCTCAGCCTCGGCTTATGTCTCTCTAAACCCTTTCACACAGGGTGCAGAGGTCTTCCAGGACACATGCACATTTCTCACTAGTTCCACTCACACTTGTTTGTTTCTCTGTCCTCCAATTTAACGTTTTGAATTTCAGTCTTAATCTCTAGGGTGCTGACCTTCCCTGTCATGTCTCACTGTTTCTTCAACCTCTGAACTTAAATGAGCATAACGCTTCCAGCAAGAAACCCAGAAAATCCACTTATGCCATGTGGTTCTTTTATTTGGAAAACTTAAGGCTGTGTCATTTTAGTAGTAAGAAAGTTACTTTAACACACACGTGCAGAATTCTAGCATTGGAAACAAAATTGGAAAGCTGCTGACCTAATTTGAAATATTTCTACAATAGTTTACGATAATGACTATTTCTGAATCTCTTAAAATGCTCCACTTTATTCTTCTCTCCAGCAGTCCATTATCTGGTAATTTCCTAAGGTCAAGCCCTTCCTAATCAGCATCTGTTGTTTTATATTTATTGACATTATTTGTGTTGCAATGTACCTTTGCTTTGTTGGTTATTATTATTCATAGCACAATAAGAAACATTGTCATTTTCAGAAACAAAACTGACAATTAACTTGTAGAGCAAATATATTTTAAAAATACATAGGGGGTCACTGAACTCATTGAGGAACATTTGTATATATTTGCCACACATGGT